GGACCATATAAGGTGATTGGCAGAAAAGATAAAACTATCACAATTGCCGTGGGTAATAGAGAAGTTTGCGTCAGCTTGGACCGAGTTAAACCAGCTTATATCGATGCTGAAGCTCCGAAGCCATCAACTGTTGGCGGTCCAGCTACTACCAATCTGCCGGTTAATTCTTCGGCGCGTTCTCAAGTTGTGCCTCCCGCCTCGAAATCTTCCGATTTTCTTGCTAAAAAACCTGAACACACTACGCGCTCCGGTCGAAAAGTACGATTTAAGGCTCCTTTCGACCTATAGCCTGCCCTGTGTGATTCTTTCAGTATCTTTTCGGTGGGGTTTATTTACTTCATGGGGGGGTGGTGTAGAGAACCACATTTAAATTCGCGCGCCCTCAAGTTCATTCCACTGTGAGACGGCGCCTGCGAGCACCGCTGACCAATAAGAGAAGAGAGGTGAAAAAAGAGAGAATGTCATGGCGGCTCCGGTGTGAAAAACTTGGTTTTCAAACTTGTGAAACAATCCTGCGTCTTTTTAGTGAATATACAAATTATTATAAGATCGGTGTTCTTTAATTCACATCCAAGAACCCGACAATGACATCAGCTGATCGAAACTGTTCATGGCGAAATTTCCATAAATAACGTAGTGTGTACTAAAACAACTTTGCTAACTAGTTTCATACCATTAACTGAATCCGACCTTCAAATATGACCACACCTTTCTGTTACACCTGTATATATACAAATTTAATTTCACACAAACACAAGGAAATTAATTAAAAACAGCTACTTTTTGTGGCATAAACCCGCTCAAAACATACGCGCAGTCCAGCCGTCGCAAAGCCTGAAAGGCGACTGCATATCTTTCTAATTTGTGGCCATTATTTAAATAATCGAATTCAGCGGGTAACCCAATTAGCATCAATTCGGCTAATTCTTCGTCATCGACGTTACAGCCAATGTTAGCTAGTTCTTGCGTTATGGAAATAATATTTCCTAAATAGTGATCCATACAATTGTAGTTTTCGTATTTAATTTGCGAAAGTTTTCTCATAAGAGAAGTCTACGACTTATGCCAGAATTTTCATAGGCGGACTTTTTCTCCACGTATCTGCAGCAGGCTTTGCATTTCTTACATGTGGATAGCAAATGGATTGTATATTCAAGCAAATTTTTGAGTATGCTTTTTGATCTTTTGAAATATCAGCAGTCACTTCTTCGAAACCAATTGCTAAATTCCATAGTCTATCAATAATAATTTCATTTGAAATTTGCACGTAGGTACCATAATTAGAAACACTTTCCAGTTTTTCTTTAGCCATGCTTGAACCGCTGCTAATAACAATGTTATTAGAAGAAGAAATGTTTTTCATCATTTGGTGAAATTATATTTTTCGAAAAATTAATATTTATAACATCACACAAAACTATAGTCCTAATAAAAAAACTAGTAAACTAAACTTGTCGAATAAAGGTCTATCCACACATATCCGGGCCGTGGCCGGGACGTGGACGGGCCGTGCTCCGTCAGGGGCTCAAAAAAATATCGTTGTGTATATTTTGTATGAACTCGTTCACACATTGTCGCAGTTCATACAAACCAGCACGCCCCGTCCACGGACCGGATATGTGTGGATAGTCCATTATTGTGAGAACATTGCCCATAACCAATGTAAAGACAGGAGTCTTCTACCCCAGGAAATCTCGACTTAAATAAAAACTACACGAGTTGCCGTGATGATAATTCTTAAGTCGTCGTGACAAGGAACATTTCACAAACAAAAATCTTAAATCAAATTTCGAAATAATCACAGACATACATAGAAGGTGTGTCAGCAAAACGGTTTACCAACATTTATGCTCTTGTGGCGAATATGAGAAGATCTGAATCATGTATTTTTTTGTTGTCCATAGAATGATGACTATGAATTTTTCAGCCAGCTCTTGTCTATTCATAAACCATTCCCTACACACAAGTGGATGCGTGGGGGAAAATGTAGCCAGGTTAAAGGCTGTCTCTCAGCCAGAATCTGGCGCATGGCTCCATGCACTACCATCTCCGCATTTGGGCACTCTGCTCGACGGCGACTCTGTTCGTGTGGCGGTTGCTCTTCGCCTGGGCTGCGATTTGTGCGAACAACATCAATGCATTTGCAAAGTGGGGGCCAGTGGCCATCATGCCCTGAGTTGCTGTCGATGTGCGAGGAGATTCCCACGGCATCATGCCTCAAACGAAATCATCCGTCGGGCGCTTGTTTCAGCAAATATTCCATGCGTGCTGGAACCTACAGGCCTCAGTCGATCAGATGGGAAAAGGCCCAACGGAATGACTCTGGTGCCGTGGGAGAGGGGTAGGTGTCTCCTGTGGGATGCGACATGTGTTAGCACTTTTGCAGCTTCGCATCTCAGCGGCATAGTAAAGCGGCAAGAAAGTCGCTACATTTTCGTTCCGCTTGCTGTTGAGACGGCGGGCTGTTGGGGTAACGATGTGAAAAAGTTTATAGCGGAAATCGGGCGACGGTTAAGAGAAAGTGGAGATAACTCTCGCGCCGGGTTGTTCTTGGCGCAAAGATTGTTTATACCATACAGCGAGGAAATGCGACAAGCGTGATGGTCACCTGTCAGGGGCGGGCTTTTTGACGAGTGTGACCACTGAGCCATGTATTTTGTAATTTATTGATTTCTTTAAATTATTTGTTATTCATGACTATACTATGTATTAAAAATAAAATTCCCTACATCCATTAATTGTTGTTTACATAACATTAATCCTACATAATCTCAGTACAGAGTACTAAAAAAACTGACCTCAAAAGTACGTGGAATTACGTCTATTTGCTAAGAATCATTGAAATATCCCCTAGTTCGCCACTATACAGGACTTGATACTGGAGATAATAAAAATAGGTTCTCACTACGACACTACTCAAAGTATATCGAGGGAAAAACGCCTTGAATTGGATAAATAGCAAAATCAACTAAATAATTGCTAAAAGTAATTGCTCCTAAATTAAAATTAGGCGCTATTTATAAAAATGAATCTTCATGCGTGAACAGCCACCCTTAGAGGTGGATGATTCCCTTCAAAATGAAATGGGAGAACTATGGAAGTACCCCCTTTCCAACAAAAAAAGAATCATGAAAATCGGTGCACAAATACCGGAGTTATCGCGTAACATACATACCTCCTCCTTTTTTGAAGTCGGTTAAAAATATAAAACTAACCCTATTTATGGATAAAAATAATAATTATCTTTGGTAGTCAGCATTAAATTTATGTATTATTAATATACACACATCAAAAGTGTCTAGGGATCAAGTGAATATTTTTGAAATAAAAATTATTTAAGCAATATTTACCAAATCCAGTCTTCCAGGACGACTTCTTACTTTAATGCTTATGTTTTATTTAACCGCTTACCCCTATATTTAATTAAAATAAACTAAAATTGATGTTTTTGCAAATTGTGGGAAAAAACTCAAATTAACGGCGTCAATTAAATGACAAAAAAATGGCGAAAATGATGATTTTGCTCATTTTTATTGTAAAGATAAGAAAATTAATAATCTGTATTTCCACCATTAACACGAATCACGCAATTACAGCGATTTGGCATGCTTAAGATGAGTTCATCAAAATCACTTTGAGGAATGGCCGCCCATGTGTTTTGTAACAAGTCAAAATATTGTTGTAGAGTATGTACGGTATGCATACTCGGCACAGCTCTTCTTTGAAGCATATCCCATGCGTGCTCAATTGGATTGAGGTCTGGCGATTGAGCAGGCCACGGCAGAACGTTGATACGAGCTTCGGCAAGAATGCGTGTTACGACTCTAGCCGTGTGTGGACGTGCGTTGTCATGCATTAGTTGAAATGAATCACCCAACTGGCCTCGCAAAGGGATTATAACATCTGAAACAATCCTCTCTGCGTAAACTTGAGCATTGAGGTTACCCCTGATCCAAATGAGATCGGTTCTTCCGCCGATCCAAATACCGGCCCATATCATTATTGTTCCCCCACCATATGGATGAACTTCCTGACAATATCTCAAACGTTCATGACGTCCAGATGTTCTCCAAACTCGAGTACGTCTTGTATCCGGTCTCATACCGAAGCGGGATTCATCCGAAAAGCACACATAGCGCCAGTCTTCTTCCTCCCAGTTTCTGTGTTCGCGAGCCCATCGTAAACGGGTCCTGCGATTGCAGGGTGGAACTCTGAGCGGCCTTCGGGATCGCAGACCCACTTCACGTAAACGATTTCGGATTGTTTGATCACTTATTAGCAAGCCTGAAGAGCTGTGGGGCCTCGTAACCAACATCATGGCGGTCATGGTACGATTCCGTCGAGCAGTATTTTGGATATACCGGTCCTGTCTGCGAGTCGTGATGCGAGATCGTCCTCCATGTCGCTCGGCCACGCTGCCCGTCATGCGATAGCGCGTCCAGAGGCGACTTATGACGCTCTGTGTAGTGTTAAGGGTGAAAGCCACAGCACGTTGCCTGGAACCAGCTTCCAACATTCCGACGGCTCGCATCATCACTTTTCGGGTTAAATGATGTCGTCTCTCCATAATAACGTAAATTGTTTCGGTTCCGATGCAGATATTGTAATGATTTTGTCAAAAAACGCTATAACTCATTTTTATACAAAACCACATTGACAATCGATTTTCTTCTTATTATCGAATTTTAAACAATATTCCTTATTTAAATGTTAAAACTCACTAAAAAGTATCAATAGCGATACAAAAAAGTTAATATAATTAACCCTAATTACAGCAATACTCTTAAACGTACTTGATCCCTAGACACTTTTGATGTGTGTACTTTATAAAACTACATACTTTTTCTTCTGTTCTTCCTATATCCTTGATTCGTTTCCTTAACTTTGATATAGGTGACATGGGCTCAAAGCTATACGCAAAGCTTTATTATAAAAAAAAAACTCGTGATTTGGCTGTCGTAATACGTCAAATATTCAATGACAATGACAGCGAAAACTCCGAAGTGAAAAAAACCTAGTAGGTACCCGAGTCTACGAATAAATGAAATATTGATAATAAATATGACAAGTAGGAAGAATAGTTTTAAAGGCCCACGAATGAATTTTAAAGGGCAAAATGAGCCAACGGAATCGAAAGGTACGAAACCCATTCGTGAAGCAGCATCGATACTCGAAGTTTTAACGCTAATGATAGTGCACATTTGTAAAAAGCTACTTTTCTTCGATACGAATTTAAAAATAGCTCTATATTTAGGAGCTCTTTTCCTGCTTTCTTTAATAGCCGACGTACTCACTTTCCCAAAATCATACTTTTCAAGAAGCGACAACATATTCAATCAATATTTTGTCAAGATTGGATGGTTTTGGACCCTATTTTTAACAGTGCCTTATGTATTGCTGACATCTTACACTACTTGTTGCGGTAAGAAAAGGCTTCTCGCTACGGGCCATTTATCGAGATTACTAGTTGCTACAGTGTTTTGGTACATATGGACCACAATGTTCAATGTTGTTGAAACAAAGTATGGACGATGTAATTCAAGAGGTTTTGATGATAAAATCTCTTGTTTAAAAAATGGTCACTTTTGGAATGGGTTCGATATATCAGGACATTGCTTCATATTAATATATTCAAGTCTTGTGATGATAGAAGAGGCTCGAGCAATTGTTGGATGGGAGAGAATAAAGGATTACATCAGAGATGAGAAATACTCCCGCAGTATAGATGACAGATCAGCCAGTATTAATCCACTGAAAAACCTTCCTACAGACGAGTTAAACATTTTGAAGACATCTTATGAGAGCTTCACACCTTATGTCAGAGCATTATTGATTGCCATTGCACTGTTACAAATACTATGGGATGTTATGCTGGTGTCAACTATTCTTTATTATCACATCATGGTTGAGAAATTCATAAGTGGTGTTATTGCTATATTGACATGGTTTGTGACCTACAGAGTTTGGTACACCCTACCAGGTTTATTACCAAATTTACCCGGAGAAGGTATATTTAAGTACAACAAAGAAAAGGTAACTACTACACCGGTTTATAAGAAAAGAATGAGCACTGTTAATGGAAAACATTTCATGGGCATGCCGATAAATAAAGGCCAAGAAAGTGGTGATGCTCCCAGTGACGACACTAGATAGACAACAAAGAAATAATTTGATGGGTTCTTCATTAAGTATTTTAATTTAAAATGGTGTGGTGCTATTTATCATTATGTGTGTGTATTCATATATATTGTGTTGACTTTTAAATTTATTAATATTTTGCTATGGTTCCAACATCTAAATATTATTTTACCCAATCACACATCACAACAATTATATTACATATCAATACATGCATGCATCAGATAGTTGATATTAAGTTTGATTTAAATAATTGATCATAATATTATAATAATGCTGGACTACCACACCAATGACATGAACTCAAACTAGGGAATTCCCTGTTCGATGAGTACCAGAGTAATATAATTCACACTAGGTCATTACCCAGAACACCCAAACCAGAAATAATTTAGAAAAGTTCAAGTCCCAAATTGGTCCCACTGGGAATTGAACCCAGGACCTACTCATCCAGTGTCCACAGTGCAAACTGTTGGTCGACCGAGACAGTCTTTATGTTTTGAAGTGTTATGCTCCATTAGGTTAGGGTGGATGGGTAGTTATATTAAAAAGAAAGGACGGGTTCACTATTGTTTAACTTTAATGCTCAAACTTACTTATAATAAATTTTCTTGTCTCAAATGTAATTTGACAATGAGTGAGAAAAATAAAGTATCTGTTCATAATATAATATTTACAATTGCAAAAGCAGAACATACTTATTTTGGCATTTATTACTTTTACACCATTTATACCAGTTTAATGAAAAAATATTAAGTAATTAAAAAATAAAAAGTAAAATAAAATAAAAATAAAATAAAAAGAAATGCTCTCTTTATGAATTATTTTATTAATTCAGTGCCATTGACTTACAATTATATGGACGTCGGGTTCGCGCTAAAAAGTGTCCGAACTTATAGGGCGTTAAAATCGTATACAGAGCGTCATTCACGCTTTAGTCTTCGTTTGTTCGACTGACAGAGAAGCAACCAAAATTAGACAGTACTGCGATGACATTACAATTTAAATTCAACGTTTTAGCTTTTTCATATTCCTTTACATGTCACTACTTTTAAATAGGTTGACTTGGGACATTTTCGTGGTTTTTGTATTAGACCCATCGTCCATTTATTTGTAAGTCAATGTTCAGTGCATTCTGTTAAATGCAATTACTGTTAAATGTGCATGTTTATGTTAAGTTTATGGTAATGAAGTATAAGTAAAGTAAAAATATGTATTTATTTGTATTAGAAAGAGGATTTCTCAATGTTTCATAGGGTTAGTGGCTATTTTATTTGTTTTGTTTGGTTTTAATATTACGTAATTAGGCAGGTTCCATTAATTATATTATCATGCACAATCTATTATTTCTTTTTAAGGTGGCTTTTGATGGCCTATGAAGCTACTCATCACTGCAACTACTAATTTATCTATACTAATCTATTGGTACTTGTAGTGTTTTGGAATATCTTCAGTAACAGTTAGTTCTAAGTAATATTTACAGCAAACTGGTATCCGTTACTTCATAATCTTTTTTCTTGAGCACCAATTGTCTACATTTTTATAACTTTTATAATTTATCCTTTTTAAAACTAAAATAAAATCAAATCAAATCTAATACTGTTTGTCTTTATGTTTACAATACGTATTTACAAATCCTATTAAGATGAAAGTAGTGTATGATTGTCCTATACAATGATGTTCATATATACATCAGGAGATCAAAAAATCTTTGATTTTTCAACTGTGTTGGTTACAGTCTTAATATACAAATTGTATTATGTTAGGCATTGATGTTTACTGATTTGTTTTGAGATAAGCAGGAACACTGAATGTACAATGTTTATTAAAAAAATATACAGTAATGGCAAATTGTCAGAATGTGTAATGCTTCACTTCTTTCATCACAATAAAATACAGAGCTTGATACCGACATAATTTCTCAAAAAATCATATACCTACTCAAGTATTTGTGTGCATTTTAGCCAATAATCTTCTTGAACATGTATATTATTGCCACAACAACACCAATTGATGCTGCTCCAGCAGCACACACATAGCCAGTCGGCTGAGACATAACAATCATCTTTATGTGGTATGGTAGATTAGGCATGGTTTTCTTGAAAGAATCACGTTGCTTTATGCGTTCATAATAATTTTCTAGCAATGGGCGTTTGCCCCCTGCCCAAAATCGGTTCTCTAAACCAAGCTCCCATAGCCTCTGCAGTAAAACAGCTAAACTGACATCAGCTATGCTAAAATTCTCACAGCAGAGCCAATTTCCTGAAACATTAAGAAACACATTTGACTTGTTTATTTAAGGAAGTAAGGACCATTCTATCTTCACATTTACAGACCTTCATTTTGAGTTTTTAATTGCTTCTCTATGGCAGTTAAAACTTCATCAACAACATTAAGTGTCTTTATGTACTCCAATTCATTTGTAAGAATTTCATGTTTTCTGTCTTGAATTTCAGCTTTGTACAAAAGTATATCTCTTGCTTTTGGGTTTTCCTCTGCTAACCTTCTAAGATTTTGTGAGTTGCTGATATCTCCACCTGAAAACAAGTGATGTTTGTTTATAGCTGCTGTGACAACGCTTTGATAAGATAAAGCAAGATTACTGTCTGTAAGTTCAAGGATGTTTGAAAAGATAAATTGAGTGCTGTCAATCCACAATGATATGATAACATACACTTACTTTTGAGTAATTCTCGGATCGGCAGAATAAAAGGCATCTTGGGGCGACCACATAAATGTGGCTGGAAAAATGAGCCTACAGTAATAACTCCAGCAGGCAGAGCTTCAATAAGTTCTCGAAATTGGTTGATGTTCTCTATAACCTTGTTATCCGATGATACAGCTGTCAAGGAAGGCAGTTCTAAAAATAAAATTATTTATTAGCTACCCAAGGTTCACAATAACACATAGATGAATAAAATATTTGACTTTTATACTTGGATCCAAATGCAGCTCCAAATAATCCAAAATTCTTGTTGAGTCTGGAATTATATTATCATGTACTTTAAGCACTGGGATTTCTCCACGCGGGTTAATTTCTAGAAACCATGACGAGTACTGTTCGCCTTTAGTTATATCCACTTCAAGTGGCACAAAATCAATGTTTTTTTCATACATAGCCATTATTACCTGGAATAAATAACACACAGAATTTTCAGAAGAATCAAATGGTAATTGCTTTTCTTACAATGGTAATAAAACGTCAATAATGAAACTCTGGTTACTGCTTACCTTTTGGGAATAAAAACTGTAATAATTACAGTACAGATAAATGTTTGCTTTACCACTGTTGTTAGGTATTCTGCCATTTGCAGTTACAGCCTTGGGCAATGAACAATTTTCAAGATACTTTTGTACGTAATGCATGTTACAAGTTTTTTTTTATTTTAACCCCATGAAAAAATTATAAAAAACTTCACTCTACACGAAAGTACCCTGCGGCGGTTTTTTCAGTTCAAACAATACCAACATGACATTACTAAAATCAGCTGACATTGACTAACTTCCGGTTTTATTGTTTGTTTGTTATAAACGACTACACTACCACTATAACTGTGGGTTTCAAATATTATTGGTAATTTTCCGAAAAAATCCACTATTTGAAATTTTTCGGAAAATTGATATGGAAAAAATTTGTAAAATATAATTTGGACGGCTCGTATTATATTCTACGCTTAGAAATATCTGTTGGAGTTTTATTTATCTTTATAAAAGCCACTGTGAAAAACGAGATTTAAAATTATTTCAGAACAGCGAAGAAAACCTTCAACGCCTTCAACAACCAAATCACCACCACTTGTGGGTTCCATCGCTTTCGTTCAGTAACTTCCAGTGACTTGTAGGTTTATTATCTCCTGTAACTCCAATTTTTGAGAGGTGTCAACTTTAATTGTGGAAAAATATTGGAAACATATCCAGAAAAATATTTATTTTTATGAAAAAATTTTCAAAATGGAAATTTTTCCATGACCCAGCTCATTTCAAATCTCATACCATAATGCCTACTACAAAATATTCGAACGCACGCATGACGCAGAGCATTAAAAAATGTGTTTGTTTATGGTCATTAGTATCATCTCCATACTCTGTGCTCAACTAGGTCGGTCGGGTGAAGCATAGATAAGATATGGATAAAGAAAGTTTTGTCAATTTTCATTCTTTTCTCATTATTTGTAAGAAAATGTTATAAATTATCGTAAATCGCTATTATTGGATTTTATTTTATACAATCGCGCAGTTTTTGTAAGACAAGTGACTCGAGAAATGTTATTGTACCAATTTACATGAGCGCTGCCGCTGATTGAACCAAAAATGGAGGCCTCCAATAACACTGACTCCGTGAATCTTGGCGTAGGTGAAGTCGAAGCTGAAATAGGAGAAGAATTAAAGCAATTAGAGGAAGTCAAAGACTACGACACTCGTAGCGAAGTATCTAGTTCGACTTCGAGTGATTCAAGCGCTCCAAGCATCAGCTCGGCCAGTACCAAATCAAAAGAGAGACGCGTTACCCGCAAACGCAACAAATCCGAAAGCCGTTCGCCGGTGCAAAATAAACGAAGATGCGTTGCAAATCCCACTACCGCAAATAAACGAAAAACTTATGATTATATGACAAAATTAAACTACTTGTTCCGTGATACGCGCTTTTTCTTGATAAAATCAAACAATGCGGAGAACATAACTCTGTCCAAGGCCAAGGGCGTTTGGTCTACCTTGCCACAAAATGAAGCAAACTTGAACCAAGCGTACAGAGAATCCAGAAACGTATTGCTTATATTTTCAGTGAAAGAAAGTGGTCGATTTGCGGGATTTGCCCGCTTGGCAAGCGAGTCCCGGCGAGATGTACCGCCCATATCGTGGGTTTTGCCTCCAGGGCTGTCAGCGAAGGTTTTGGACGGTGTTTTCAAAGTTGACTGGATATGTCGTAAAGAGTTGCCCTTTAACAGTACTTTGCATTTGTATAACCCCTGGAATGAAGGCAAACCAGTCAAGATAGGAAGAGATGGGCAGGAAATTGAACCAAAAGTGGCAGAAGAATTGTGTAGATTATTCCCGGAGGATGATGGTATTGAAATGACGCCTATATTGCGTAAGTCCAAAGAAGCTTCCAAGAAAGGATATCTCAAGAGTGGTGGAAGTTACAGAACATATCGGGCTCCACTGACATCCAGAAGTTCCAGCTTTAGGAGCCGTTTAAGCACATCTTCAAGGAGCCGACGAAAAATATTTATGTCACCAAGGACCCGTTTATCTTCAACCTCATATAAGCGACGATCGCCTTCTCCATACATGCGTGACCGCCTGCCAGCATGGTTCAGTCGTAATCGTGATGGATACAGTGCCAGTAGCTCTGCAGCAGCAGAAGCCTATGTAGCAGAATATATGAGGTCCATGCACCATCAGCTACCTCCATTACCATATGTTCCCCCGCCAGGCTTTAGTGGTGCCCTATCTTCGTACGATGGGTTGCCACCACCACCACCGCCGCCGCCGCCGCGTTACTATGATTTAGCTGATTATACCCGTTCAGTGCTTGTGTATGATAAGAGGTCGTATGAACGGTCAGTGGATGAGTTTTTATGGCGTACGTCAGATCGTTCTCGTGGCCGTAGTCGTGAACGTGAATCACACAGGTCTTATAGAGATCGGCGATAGAACTGTATTGACCACCGATGTAATGATAATTTGATAATATCTAATAAAAATTTGTGTTTGAACTTTGAACTTTATTCAGTTATTAAGTGTTGTGATGAACCATACATTGGAAATGTCAATGATAGTACAAATGGACAGTTTTAAATTTTGATCAGCATTTCATAAATGAGACTATTTGAAATGATCAGTGATATCAGTGGAAACTAGGTAACAGCTTTCTTTTTCAGAGTGCTTTACATGGACACAACATTGTCATGCACTTAGATGCTTTGACTAAACATAGCTTTTGATAGGATGTGTTTATGAAAAATGTAACCCAGACCAAAAACCTAAGCAGTGTAATTTTACGATTTTTTAAATTGAACATTTGTGATACATTTTTGTGAGAACGAAAAGTATCCAGACAAACATACTGTTATAGAAGACTTTTAAACTTGTACAACTGTATATGGTTGTGTGAACATCTGTGATATTTTCTCCACCTATTTTGACTAAATATACATGAATTTTACTCTAAACCAAAGAATAATAATCTCAAAGACTGCATTAAATCCATTATTGTTACTTATCCAACAAAATTATTTTCTACTCATGTTGTTTTAGTTATTACTTTTCGATTCAGCTCATCATCGTCATATGTCACACTCCCTTACAAACTATATAATGGAATATATTGTTTTCATGTTTGGGGTGTGCGAAAATTGCTACTCTAAAATATCACTTGTCACTGGCTTGTTATATCCAAGGTCGACATTCCCAACATGTGGCCTCGAATGTGCGTAGGCATGGCTTATCACGCCACTGTCATTTCTTGACTCTAGTTGCATTCCAAGCACAACCACACCCCCAGACATAACATCGTAAACAGAGTACTAGTAACAGTAATACTTCATCATAAAATCAATTTAGACGGTATTCCTATGTCGAAATCCTGAACACTTTGTAGTTCGAAATCGTATCCTAAACTTTTGCATTGTTACCCATTTGGGCAAATAACATAAATGTTGGGTGTTGATACTTTCCAAACATTCATCTACGTTGCCGTTGGATTCGTTCGTGATTATATTACATTACGTAGGTGTATAAGTAGCAAATTATGTCTTAAATTATTTCATCTATCTATTTTAGCGATGTGTGCAATAGTAACTAATCGCCCCGTAAACTAAGAATTTAAGTCCCACTTACTAGATTTTTTTCGCGCGCTGGACCTCCCCTCTCCCAGGTGGCGGATGGGTGGACGGGCACTGGTATAGCCTAGCTAACCACCGGCTAAGTCCGATGAACTCGCTGACCAAAGGAGGGTGTGATCCTCCAGCATTTCAGGGGTAGTGCGGCTGGTTAACATACCACCCCCATAAAAACTTTGTTGTAACGAACACGATACGAAGCAACGGAGTAAGTAAATAAGTAAGTATATTTTATTAAAAAAACGGACAACTACGAGTTTCGACTTATTGTGTATATACTGATACCTAATTGAATGAATTTTTACAGGTTGTGGGTGAATTTCACTTTCCGAATTTCAATGGCACTTTTTGAGTGAATTTTGTAAAACCCTTTTTTCTTTTGGTTTTAAGGTCTTAAAGGTACAAATAAGTTCAAGCAATGTCAATAATTATAAAATCACAGAAATATTTAACTTAAATACAACAAAAAACCATATTTTAGATCACACTAATGAGATTACAATAACACGAATGATTGTCTCGTATTCATAAATGAGAAAGACGGCAGAGACATTTTATCGTTCACAAAAGAACATTTAACATGTAACAAATACATATTTTAATACAACTTCTTGTATCAAAATCCTTCTAATCCGTGTAAGACCATCTATCTATATGTAATAAATAAATAAATCTAAATAAGTATTTTGTTAATACCATATAAACTTTATTGTACATCAATATATCATCATCACCACCATCAGCATCATCATCATGATCACCATTATCATCAGCATCATTACCATTCACATCATCATCATTACCATTCACATCATCATCATTACCATTCACATCATCATCACAATCATCGTCATCATCACTACAATCATCGCCACCACCATCATCATTGTCACCACCACTATCACCATCTAATTGTTATATTTCTAGTAAATATTTGGCTTAAAGTAACTATTTGACTTAAAAGTAGACAAGAATGAGAGCGACAATAATGGTATTTGGATACATTTTTCACTGTCAAGTCTGTAAAATATGCTGGACCATTATAACAGTGTATGGATTTTAAAGTTCCCTTTGTCTGATTGATGTACAATAAAGTTTATAAAACTATTACTTAATACTTATTTAGATAGATTGCTTCACATGAATGGGAACGATTTAGTCACTAGTGCTGAAATTGGTATTTAAGTCGATTTTTCGCTAAAACGGAGATGCACAGGTTACTTCACTGTGTACACTCCAATCCGACAGGAGCCCCTTCTCACGTATGCGAAAGGTGAAGGTGATGCGATATGAACTTTTATTATTAGGAGGCTTTTAGTTGAATTGACACTAATGATAAGAAAAATTGAAACACAAGAAAACATGTTTGTTTATATAATACATTGGAAAGTTACAATGCAATTTCCACGAGTGTTTAATTCCTTTTCTACTTAAAATTAAGGCGACGTGGAACCGGCTCCCATGAATGAGAAATTGACCACTTTTTTAATTTTTATTTATTACTGTGACGTAGTAAAGTAGTCTTTTTATGTGTAACACAGACTAAGTAAGCAAGCAATCATATTAAATAAATAATGTTTAGCATTCATGTAATAACATAAAAGTTATTGAAAGGGACACATTTTTAGAGATTATCTGAAAACGACCATGTGTTATTACTTTATTGCGTATCAAGTTGATATTTATCCAATATTGTAGAGGTATGGGAATATACAGTGTACCTGTACATATTCTGTTTATATACAGTACCCTTTCGTAGCCGTATAAGATCACGCTCTACATCTACGCTACCGTTATCGCGTCTACGCGGACGCTGAGATACACACGCATAGCAGTTACGATACTCGAGACCAATGCCAAAAGGTTTTCTTTGTTGTTTTCGAATCTATGTACGAGTACTTTGATTACTTGTACTTCGTTTGATTGTACTTCGTCGTAATCTATGTGCAATCCAGTTTAAAAACTGAAAATTTCTAATAAAGTGCACGTTGTACACATTTTAGAGGAAATAAAAATGCTTATATTTTTTTAAATTCCGAAAGTGTCGTCTAACAAGCATGCATAGCAAAGGTTAAATAAGTTTATTTATTGTCTATATTGTCGAACGAATTCGAAAATAATATAACTGACTAGTATATATAGTAATCTGTGATGTTATAATTAACCACAATCGTAATTAATGGTATATTACACGGCTGTTAACCCTTCAATAAAATAATATGATTTTTAGTTGTCGTCACTGTTGTGCGTCATCAGAATCTGGGTCCTATCCTGTAATACGACTGGAGAATACGCTCTTTACGTAGAGTAGTTAATTTGCTTTCAATTGAAATGATTTGTAAGTAGTAGATAAACGTGGATTGTTTTGAAAACAGTGAAGTAGGGTTTTCAAAAGTAACTCGTGAAGAAGTACACTGAATCACATCAAGCTTGATACTTTGGGCCGTTCTTACAACAAGCGCCATAGAGTTGAATTTAAATCTTAAGTGTCAAACTGTACATGCTCTTGAACCCGAGCGTTACAACAATACATGAGTCGGGCCCTTTATTCTAGTTCTACGTCTGACATCTGACCGAAACAATTAGGCCGGCTAAACACAGTCTGAATTCCGTTTCGAAATATCGATTGGAGATTCCGTAGGTGTATCCATCACACTGTGTGATACGTTCATTTCCGTTGGGAATAACAAGACAGGAGAGACACGAGACTTTGAGTCCAGATGTTCATGCAGCGGAACGGCTTTTTCTGTGCGGAATTCCAAATGCACAAGCCACCAAAGGATATTTTAAAATCGGAAAAAAATCGAACGGAATAGTTGATACTGTATGTGTGTGATAACTGATAAGTCCGTGATTTGTATGGTTTTGCTGCCTTGGTAAACGCCACCTTACCTATTTTTGCCCTCAAGCTGTAATGTGTTCCAGTTTGGAAGGGCAAGGGTACTGGTGAAATTATAGGCACATGGAACTTGTCTCAAGGTCATTATGAGACAGAAGTCCCTTCTCTGAACAAGGTGCTCTCCTGCTACAAAACTAATTAAAGCGACCTCTAAAACTATGCAATATTGGTTCGACAATAAGTAATACGGATTTTTTATTATTTTGGTCAGAACTAAACTACAAAAATCAAAAGAATAACATAGTAAGTTAATTCAACTGCCTCCGTGGCCGAACGATTACCTTGCCGGAATGCTACGCAAAGGTCCCAGGTTTGATTCCCGGGCCGGGAGAAATATTTGTATGGCCTGCATTTATTTCTCTCGTGAGTTTGGGTGTAATTTGTGGTTGTCTTTGTATGTGTCCATGGCACCCGCGACACAGGGCTTCCCTAGTGCGGGGCTATGTTGAATGTGTGCGTTAGTATTATTATTCCAATAAATACGATAAATAGCAAATAATGTAATAAAGTTTTGCTTGCCGCAAAATTTCAGACGTTCTGAATAAAAAAAAATTAGACACGCATATCGCCGAAGTCTCACGGCTTTAAGAGCTGTTTTTGTTTTTGTGAGAACATTTGAATTGGTTAACTACTTTTTAAAATTATTTTTGGGTGCTACTAACGTGAACTTTTTTAACAACAGAAAAATTATAACAATTTTTGAGGAAATTTTCGATTTTCGTGACTAAAACGTAAAAAAAAAGCAAAAAAGTATTAGCTTTGTCTTAGTGTTTTAAATTACTGTTAAACTCTTGATATAAAAATCGAAGAACTTTGAGGAAAGTTTTTTTCAAAACTATACAAAATTGGCAGACGGGAGTTTTCGTTCTGCATTTAGAATATTACGTAATATTTAATATATATATATATATATACATCACGTAATAAGCTGCCTTAGAAATGTCCGATCTAAAGGTATTTCGAAACACAGTGCAACAAACATTCATGTTCTTTATGCTTACCGGGCATAAAGAACATGAATGTTTGAAAATGTAGGTGAATAAATACAATGTAGTTATTAAAGTAATTACGTTCCAAGCTGCGCTGTGAAACATGAAGGCGCGAATGTTGTTTACATCCCACCTTACAGGGTTTGTTAAGGTTTTTGTCGATGTTTAGCCTTATGTAATAGGAGGCGTGGTGATTGTAAGTGACGCAGGCGCGGTCTAGAGGCGCACCGTCGCCGCCACCAAGGGTGCGTCAGTCGGCGCTCGGCGACTGGAGGTGCTTCGCGCTCTGCGCCGCGCCCCTTACCGCCGAAGCGTGGCTCGGGGCGTGGCGCTTACGTAAACACGCGTGGCACACTGTTCGCGCTACGGGCGGCGCGGGGCCGCGCCACAGTCCGTCCGAGAACGACCTCATGGCCCGCGCCGCCGCCTAAGTACATGCGGACAGCTGCACGGGGGCTGCCGCGCCGCCGCCACTGCCACCGCCGCCGAATATCGCGCTTATAGGTAAACCACACATAATATATACCCACTGCGAATAAGCAATTTCTCTAATAAAAATACAATTCAAAAATTTCAACGCAGTTGTAGGCACAAGTAAAGCACACACAGTCGATTTGAAATATTCAGAACCGAGACGTACCCACTAGATGTGACGGAATCTTATGTTAAGTTTTCTAATATTCATGAACCACGCAAGACGATGAAAACCATTTATTACTTACTTCAGAACCTGTAAAAAAAGATGGATTTCCTGAATATTTTATATGGGTGTTATGTAGGCTTGTACAAAGGAGATACGCTTTCGTGAGGATCTCCCAAGGTTAGAGTAGAGAGATAAGTTTGTGTAGACCTTATTGATTTCCTATAGCGGTAGCATCTTGGATAGAATTATAAATACATAGTACTACAATTTTAAAAGCGAAATTCACTAAATTCTGTTTTAAAATTGCATTCATTTAATTATTAAAGAGGCCCTTAAATATAGATTTTTAAATTGATAATTTTTATAAAAAAGAACTACTAGGTACTTACTTAGTGAGCTAATTTGTAATTTATAAAATTACAATTTATTTGGTAAAGGTAAACCGTGTCTTAACAGCAAACTTGAAACTTGCGTTAAATACCTATGCTTCTACGGAAGTTCTCTGTTACCGGGTTCATCTAATACCATAGATATTCTAATACTCATACTTATACATGTTGGTTTAGAAAGTCAAAATATTTCAGGGGCACATATTACATTAATGAAAATAAAAAACTATTATTTGCCGTTTTTATATTATTTGGGAAAAAAACTGTTCTGACTTAATTGTTCTGATTGAACTGATCGTGCGTCAACCCATGTACACAACACATACATAATGTAAGACTGAGTTTTCATTCAGGCTCTGCTGGAAGGGTTTTCATACTATAACCTACCATGTAGATACAATGCAATTTGATTTGATCACACATCTTCGGTTTCAAAGCCTTGGCTCTCAAACATTCTCAGGCAAATAGGTTTCATCACAATGTATTCCTTACAGAAAAACCTGTGAACCGTAAAAACAAGTGATAAAAATGGTCTTACTGAAATACATACGCGCAATCTACGATATATCTATGTAGGTACCTACTAGCGAAAGTCTGCGCGTAACTTAAAATTGTAGTAGCCGTAGAGCTCCTTGTGAAAGAGTTCGTCCAGGGAAGTAAGTACTCTATTTATGCCGCCAAAGTAATAATGTGAACATTAGGGCGCGTTCCCACTATGTCGTGACGACAGATTGTCGTGCAGTTTACAGTGTCGTGGCTTGTATATTTAAATGAAGTTGTTCACATATAGCACGGCACGATTAACTATCGTTCACGATTTTTTATCGTTATAACGACAAACTGTCGTCACAGTGGGAACAGCTAGAATGACAGTCGTCAGACGATAAAAAAAGTCACGACAAAAACGTGACGACAGATTGTCGCAGTTCCTGTTGTCGTCACGTTTTATTTATCGCTGTCCGCTCGTATTCTGCTCCCTGCCCTCCCCTCTCGTAGCCCGCGCCCTCTGCTCGCTTTGCAGTAGCGTTGGGTCGTAGCCAGAGATGAGTGTTCTGTGGAGATGAGCAAGCGCCCGGGTTTTATTTAACCTGGGGTTTTGTTATCACCGCGGTTTAAATCTTGTTAAACCCCGAAATCGAGGGCAGAAACTATTACCGTCTAAATATTTGTGGTGAATTAAGTTTTGTTCAAATTTAATTATACATATTATTACAAAATATTTGTTAGGTACTTTATTATCAGGACAATTCGATTTACATGTCTATTGAATAGATTCGCTTGAAAAGTTCATCAATAAATTGATACAAAAAATCGTTAGATCGTATGCATCGTATGCACTTGAATTGATCTTCATTGAGAATCCACAGGATTGACAGGTGGTAGGTATTATGTGGAGATGCCTCTTCTTCGTATAATAAAAATATAGAAATTTGTTACAAGTTATTGTATATTATATTGTTAGTGTTGGAATTATACCAATTTCTGTACTCTTCGTTTCTGCCCACGATTTTGGGCAGAAATAGGTTAAAACTCGGCGCTTCGGGTAAAACCCTGGTGAAAACACGGGCGGGTTGATTGGATTTTAACCCACTGCCCATTTCTGGTCGTAGCAGGTTTTGACAATACCGAAAAAAAAGCAACTTCGTATACCGTTTGAAATAACCCTAATGGAATTCTTTTTAGTAACATTGGATGTACCCAAAACTTTCTTTTCTTTGTTTGCTTCCTCTTCCTTTTAAAAAGTAATACATTATGAAAGTTTCGTCTTCATCCATTTCAAGCGAACACACACCACCGGCTTCCAAAAGAACATACAAGCGACTGCAGTGCATCAAACGATTCTGTCGTGCAAACGATGAATTGTCGTCACGATCTATTGGGAGCAGCTAGTCACGACAGCCGTTCAACGATAAAAAATAGTCCACGACAGATAGTCGTGATATGGGAACAGGCTATCACGACTAAAACGTGACGACATAGTGGGAACGCGCCCTTAGTGCGTTTCAGTTTTGAAGGGTAAGGGTGCTGTTGAAATTACAGGCACATGGGACTTTTCAACTTATGTCTCAGGATGATAGGCGCAGTGGTAGTAGGCACCTCTCAGATCTTTGCAACTTCAAACTCTGAGTGTCACTATAGACAGGCATGTCGCATATCACCAGGCGCACGACAAGTTCGTCCCCTGACCTATGGCATCATAAAATAATAATAATAATAAGAAGTCTTAAAAATAACTGAACAACAAAATATTGCTCACAAAATTGTTTACTGGCAGCTCCTAACAATTATCAGTGCCGTAAAGGTAATTTTATTCACCCCGAAGACAGTTCATTACCATTTTATCATCAAATCGGTTTCGAGTTCGCATAGCTAATAATTAAATTACATATTTTAACTCAATTATACTAAATTATTAAGCAGAATTAAGACCTAAGCCACTATATATAAGGTCCTAATGTATTAGGTGACATCTTTTAGAGCTATATTTAGTACATGCACTTAGTAAATAGTATGCAAAATTGTTTGCTTTCATAAAAGCAAACAATTTTACAAATTTGAATTACTTAATTTAATTCCAATATGAGATTTTTATTACTTACTTACAGTCAATTCGGGTAACTTTGAATCGTGGTGTACTTAACTTTGAACGTAGTTATGTAAAAGGTTGAAAAATTTATTTTATGTATGGCAATCTTTTATTTTTAGTATTGAAACTGTGTAAATCGGAACAAAATTGTTAAACTAAAGTTATGAAAGAAAAAAGTAATGTTAAATTGTATTTTTTTAAACTTTCGCGGTTTTTTCTTGGCGAAAGTAGTTTGGTGTGATTTGTTGCTCAGTTTTAGAATCGGAATTAAATATATAAATCTGAATATTGACTGGTAAGTTATGGTTTCCACACTTAAGTAGAGGTTTATATATCGCTTTTTTAAAGAATAATTTAATTTGGTTTTGTATTTACGCGTAAAACGAATTAGATTTTGACGACGTTACCAAACAGAGAAATTTGGGTAACTTTGAATGTGTTTGACTGTGTTTTTAGAGAAGAGGGTAGTCTGTTTCCAGGGAGAGTTCTAAAAGTTACTCCTTTGGAAATTACTGTCTCAGTGCTCCAAAAATGCTTTTTAGGAGGTTGGTCTTGGCCCTCTAACGTTGAGACATGTCAAGTTAATAAAGCCGATATTGTGAATATTATAAAAGAGCAACAGCTATCTAGAAAAGGCGGCCGTATTTATATTGATGACGACATTTTATTCAAGGAGTGGGGTGAATAGATTTTTGTTATGTATTTACTTTGCCTAAAATAATTGTTATAGGCGATTCCTTTTGATCTCGTTTGATAGCTAAATAAGCGTAGAATTTATTATTAAACAGAAAATTTTCATTTTTATTCGCATTAATAAAAAAAATCTAAAAAAAAAACAAGTTTTTCGTTTCAACTGCATTAGTTCGTCTCGTTTTTGTTATGGCAATACCAAGTCAAATGTAGTTTTTGAACGCACTGTCAGGAATATTTGGACAGATTCACATCTAAAAAATATGAATATGTCGTATAATCTTACACAAACTGTAAAATATCTAGAAAATATACGGTTTCCTTATGGAAGGCTAATCTTATTCAAAGTTACCCAAAATTCAAGGCAACTTTGAATGTGACTTTTGGAGCAAATCTAGAACAGTTTTGTTGAATAATTACTAAATTCCTTCTATAAGAACGAAAAAAGGGCTTAAAAGAACACTATTCAGTTAATAAAGTAATTGTTAAGAAACATAATTAAATTTGAAATTATTAGAAAAACGCAAAAAATGTTCAAAGTTACCCGAATTTACTGTATATAGGTATCATTGACTTACAAATGTATATATACGATTTATTTATTTAAAAAAAAACTTAAATGACGTAATTAAACATTTACAAATTGTAATTAATCTCTGCGCATAAAAATAAACATCACACAAACGTGTATTTTTTTTACACCGTATCTATGTGTGCGCATAAAAATAAACATCACACAAACGTGTATATATTTTTTTACACCATATCTATGGGTAGGACTGTGGATACATAGTTTTGGTATTAATACCTGCAGGTATTAAAAAGGGCTCTACATTTTTTTCTTTATTGTGTTACTCTTTTCGAGGTTAGCGTTTCAATGCTCGGCATTTATCTACTTTACAAAGTTTCCCCAACCGGTGGTGACTGGTAAAAATAATCCTACCCAGATTTCCATCAGGAGGGTGGGTGACAATTGCTGCGTGCTTTACCAGTTATTCCTCTTGCAAATGTTAAGGCTGCCTGTTTACTCATTCATTACATTGTATATCCAACTCATAAAAAGAGTTTGGTTATAATAATAGGGGTTAAAGTATGAAATTGCCGATTTGTACTGAAAATCT